TGTAATGTTCACTGATAATATGCAAAATTTTGTGAAGATATACTTACTAATTAAGTAAGACTTATGGAACTTAGCCTTATGGATTTCTCATCTACTTCTCCTTAGGGTTGGGTCAGTGACACAACCCCTTGACAACTGTATCCCAATTGTTAAGTCATATCTTGTCCATCTATTCCAAGCAACTTCATGAAATAGTCAAGGTCTTTCTTCATCATTCCCTTGAACACTGACAGGTTAATTTTATCTCATGACAAGATAGTTTTAATAGGCTTCTGCCAGCTTTTCAACAGATATATGGACAAGATGTCCCAAAAAGGTCTTCATCTTCTAATCCAAAAAGGTATGCATCCTGATGAATATTTCCTTTAGCTAATTCAGAATTATTCAGCATTTGGTAGCATGCACCTCATAAGCATCATAATGATGCAAGATAAGAGAATTGTATGTGTGCATGTATATCCCACTTTTATAATCAGACCAAAGTCCTTGTGTGCTATCCCACAATTCTTAGGTTATAAAAAAGGATGACATATTCAGCAGGTCTAAGGACAGAAACAGAAGGGTGAGGTTGAGAAAGACTATAAACCAAATTAAACAATGAGAACTGATGCGAGGCACAGATCTCCAGTGAGTCAGGAACATCTTTGAAGACCCCCAAGTGAAGAAAAGGATACCAAGGAAGATCACAGAGATAAGCATGATGAAAGTGCACATTAGCTGGGATAGCATACCATCCCATCAACAAAGAAAATAAGTAAGGACAGATAGAGAAGAAGAATTGCATGCCAATGCAGTGAAAAGATCTTAAAGTGATTAAATGCCTCAGAAATAAGGTGAAGTGACAAGAGGCAATACAAGAGATACAGGGGGAATCAGAAGTTACAGTGTACACCCCCAAGCATGGAAAAGAGATTTCAAAGACTGGGAATCGAAAGATGGAAATAAAAAATGGCCATAAACCAGGACAAAAGTGAAGTTGGTAAGAAGGATAATGGACCCTAATGTCAGGTGAAGAGGAAAAACAAAGTAACAAAGGGGAAAGAGAAAGAAAGAACATATTTGCAAGTAACACATTGGAAGATGAAGATTTTTCTCCACATAAAAAACATAAAATAGCCAGTGAAAATCATCATCATCCTGGTCACATTGAAACTGTGGAGAAGAAACACTGGCTAAATGGAGCCCAGTCTGCATGAAGGAAGATAGAAGGTTTTTATTTTAGATTCTAGCTTGTAAATAATGGTAATGTGAGTTTCTAAATTGTATGAAACTACAAACTTTGTATTTTGACATCACAAACATCTATTTTGAACCAATGCTGCATTCAAAATACCACATGACAAACAAAAATAGATATTTAAGAATTATTTTTTAATATTTACTTTTAAATTAAGAAATTAACAAATATATCATTCCAATATTTGAATTATAATCTACAATTTGATACCAAACTTATTGACGTACTTCATAAAATAGTAATTCAATAAAATTTTGAATGAAAGTCAACAAATACGATATGACATGGCCTCTGACCTGTGAACCATAGCGATAGGCCATGTCATCACATTTGTTGACTCACATTCTAAATTTTACTGAACTACTATTTCATGAATTTATGTCAATAAGTTTGGTATGAAACTG